ATGGGGGGTGGGCTGGGGGGAGGGGTGGGCGAGAGGGGGAGAACAGGGGATTCTGTGGCTATTATGTTGAACTGAATGGTGTTGTAAAATAATAATAATAATAATAATAATAATAATAATAATAAAAAAAAAGAACATATTTCACGGGCTAGAGAGATGGCTCAGAGGTTAAGAGCACTGGCTGCTCTACCAGAGGTCCTGAGTTCAATTCCCAGCGACCACATGGTGGCTCACAACCATCTGTAATGGTGCCCTCTTCTAGCCTGCAGGGATACAAGCAGGCAGAACACTGTACATATGATAAATAAATAAATCTTTAAAAAAAAAAAAACTTCGCTATAAAAAGCCAAACTTCAACAATGTAAAAACCGACATTACTTCTGCACCAACCTAATATAAAATACAGAGATCTTATACGTTCTGAAATGTACTGCTTCTTTGAAATGTACTGCTTCACTGAATTGTCATCACTGAGCACTACAAAAATGAACATTATTAGCATGTACAATTAGCATGTATGAGGCCCTACATTCAATCCCCAGCACTATCAAACAAAAGTAACAAAATGGAACATAAGACAACAATGTGGTCTTCTACAAAACAGCACATCTTTACCTGCCAAGGAACAAAGAAACTATAAAATTTCTCTATTTTCATTATAGATAATATAAAGAAAATATGAAGAGTAAAAGAGAGAGATAGGAAGGAGCACACAAGAGAAAGAAAGAATAGACACAGAGAGAATAGCTAGCCCATGAAATAAAGTTAGTTTATTCTATAAACAAAACCCAAAATCTCGAAACAAAGTTTAAAAAAACTATTTCGGGTTCATAATTAGGTAGAAACTTGAATAGTAAAATAATTATAAAGAAATTATTATCACATCATAGCAACTTCTGTCTCAATCAGTGAATGATAAAGGAAAATGGTACTTTTAAATACGTAGTCACCAAATATCTTTACTGTTTTGATTACTCAAAACATAATTTCAATACTAAAACCTCTTATTCCTAGCACCATTAAAAAATAAAAACAAGATCTATACTAAGGATGGAACACAGTGTTGATGTGTGAAGCTATGAGTTTGATCGCTCGAAGGGTAAACAAACAACTCAATAAAACCTAAACTGAAGGTAACAGTGCATTTGTGTGTATTAAACAAAAATTAAGCACTAATAAGATCAAAATAACAATTGGGGGAAATTTTTTAAATACACTCCTTTAAAATATGAAAATGTGAGAAGAGTATTAAAATGTGTGTCTACTGTGTAGTTCTAAACTTTGTACTTTAAAACTTCAATTATCCGGGCTGGAGAGATGGCTCAGAGGTTAAGAGCACTGCTTGCTCTTCCAAAGGTCCTGAGTTCAATTCCCAGCAACCACATGGTGGCTCACAACCATCTGTAATGAGATCTGGTGCCCTCTTCTGACCTGTGGGGATACGTCCAGACAGAACAATGTATACATAATAAATAAATCTTTAAAAAAAAAAAAAAAACACTCCAATTATCCAAAAGCAACAGTAAAATAATGAATTATCTGGGGCTGGAGAGATGGCTCAGAGGTTAAGAGCACCGACTGCTCTTCCAGAGGTCCTGAGTTCAATTCCCAGCAACCACATGGTGGCTCACAACCATCTGTAATGAGATCTGGCTCCCTCCTATGTATACATAATAAATAAATAAATCTTAAAAAAAAAAATAATAATAATAATGATTTATCTTTCTAAAGTATACCAAAACCATTTTATGAAGGTACACCACTGAAAATACATGAAATTTCAATTATTTTACCTCTGGCCAGGAAAGAATTCTTCCTTTAGTTAGTATGATGATTTGTAGATACATCATTAACACTAACCATCTTCATAAAGTGAATAAACTAAGTCAGATTCTTAACTTGTCTATCTCACAATTTAGAAGTTATGGTATCTATCTTCACATGCTTTAAAACTGTATCCATAATGAAGTACCCCTAAGGTACTTTTTCCATGTTATTAACATAGAAATAAGTAATTTTTTTCTTATGTAATATCTAAATTTTCCTTGGGTAACATGATGATACACACTCCAACTTTATCTTTATTTTCTCATCTAAAAAAAAGTCACCAGGAATGGTGATGCAATCCTTTAATCCCAGCAATCAGGAAACAAAGATCTGTAATATCAAAGTCAGCCAATGCTACACAGTAAAACCCGTCTCAAAAACAAGTAGTTATGCCGGGCGGTGGTGGCGCACGCCTTTAATCCCAGCACTCGGGGAGGCAGAGGCAGGCGGATCTCTGTGAGTTCGAGGCCAGCCTGGACTACCAAGTGAGTCCCAGGAAAGGCGCAAAGCTACACAGAGAAACCCTGTCTCGAAAAAAAAAAAAAAAAAAAAAGTATTAATGCAATAGGCCAAAGGTTATTATTATGCTGACATTTAAAAGTCTTTTATAAGATACAACACAAAGTTGTTCCACACCTCTATTCCACCAAGAGACATTTACATATGAACCCACACACACACATAAAAGCAAAGACTTACAAAACACTAGATAAATATTTAAAGCTACTATTGTTGTTGCTCAATACTGACAATGGAGTCATTAAAATAAAATTAAGAGAAATATCCATTTTATGAAGCTACACTATTGAAAATACATGAATAGCCTAATAATTGGTAATGCCTAAATTCCAAAGAAAATAATAATTCTACTTCAACTTATAAAAAAACAAGTAGAAAAAACAAAAACAATCTTAATGAACAGCTGAATCAGGGCTAGGCATAAAGTATGCAAATTTAAAAAACAAGAGTTTCTGTCGCAATAATAGCTACCAAGAATTTTAAAACACTACCCACAGTAGTTGCTGCAATCAGAGTATGTATGTAGTTACTTGCCTTGTAGTACCACTCCTGAAATTTTTTACAGCAGTCTTCACTGCAGAAGTCTCTGAGAACTCCATCAAGCTCTTTAGTTGCTCCCTTCTTACACAGCTGAGAACAATAGTTGCACGTAACACATCTTAATCCTAATCGTCTTGCAAAATCTTGTTTGTATAATAGCTTGCAGCCTGAAAAATTTTACCATTTTTTTAAGAACACATAAAAAGACAAATTTTAAACTGAAACAGATCTTAGAAGACTAGTTAATGATTAGTTTCAGAAAATGCTCAATATACTCACATAAAAAGTCCTCTCTCCCTTCTGATTAAAAACTTACATACGGGCCAGGCAGCAGCACACACCTTTAATCCCAGCACTCGGGAGGCAGAACCAGCCAGATCTCTATGAGTTTGAGGCCAGCCCAGGTCTCCAGAGTGAGATCCAGGACAGGCACCAAAACTACACGGAGAAAAACCCTGTCTTGAAAAAAAAAACAAAAACAAGAACCTACATGTGTATGTTCAGGCACACACATGTGGAGGCCAGAACTTGATGCCAGTTTTCTTCCTCAATTTGCTCTCCACCTTATTCTTTAACACAGAGTCTCTCATTGAACCTAAAGTTAGACTGGCTAGCCAGCAAGCCCCAAAATGGATCCTCCTGTCTCAGCCTCAGCAGTGCTGGAATTACAGACTGCCGTGCCTGATTTTTACATGGATGATAGGGATCCAACTCAGGTATCCATGCTTCATGTCTGCGCAGCAAGCACCTTACTAACGGGACATTTTCCCCAGGCCCTATGAAATGCTAACTCTTCTATGATAACACCAACCTCTAAAAATTTGAACAGAACATGGATTTATTATATTAGAAAACGTATCTACCACAAGGGTTCAAACAATACTTTAAAGACAATAAAATCTGGTGATGCTTCAGAACTATTTTCTTTGCTCTATTTAAATAAAATCACAAGGAAATAGCGAGTGCATTAGAAAAATGAACACAAACTGCTAAGAAGTTCCAACTAAAATTTACAGACATTCTTTTCTTATTTTTCAACACAGGGTTTCACTGTGTAGCCTTAGCTGTCCTTGAACATACTCTGTTTATCAGGCTGGCCTTGAACTCAGAGATCCACCTGCCTCTACCTCCCAAGTACTGGGATTAAAGTGCACCACCACCACTGCCCAGCAGACATTCTTTAGAAGGCATTATACTCAGGTTTTCTAGATCCTTCCTAATAGCCTATTTTCATATAAGAATTGTTCAAGGAAATAGAACTGATTTCCTGACTTGTCTAGGGAAAATACTATCTACTCCTTTAATGAAATACACCTCTCCTTATCTACTGCATAAATGTGCTATGTATTTTCACATATCTGATTTATTACCTATACTACCTCTGAAGTTAAATAGGCCTCTATATTGTTACTCATGCTATTTCATGTAAACAGAATAATCTACTAGTATCTACAGAAGTCCTGCCCTATCTACCCCTTAATAAGAAGCTCAAATTATAATTCTACCATATACAATGTTCTTATCAATCTAAATATTTTAAAGTCTTGTCCTATCTATGCATCTTCTCCTTTTAGGAGCTGGGTCTCATCATTCTCCTGAGCTACAGCCACGAATGGCTCTGAACTTTCAATGTTCCATCCTTAAACTCCAGAGTGTTAAGACTGTAGGCGACTGCTACCATGCCTAACTGTACAGCTTTTAAAAATATAAAGTTTTGGGGCTAGAGAGATGGCTCAGAGGTTAAGAGCACTGACTCCTCTTCCAGAGGTCCTGAGTTCAATTCCCAGCACCCACATGGTGGCTCACAACCATCTATAATGAGATCTGTCACCCTCTCCTGTCTACATAATAAATAAATAAATCTTTAAAAAAATATACATATATATATAGTTTTGCAAATTACTGTGTACCACCCCATAATTTATTATTGTGAACTATCTTATTATTAGTTACATTTATTTTTATAGGTAAATGTGTTTGTGGCCTCATCATGTTACAGCATACACATGGCAGTCAGGATACCTTGAAAGAGTCAGTTCTTTCTGTCCATTATGTGGGGACTGGGAATCAAACTGAGGCCCCCAGGCCTGGCACCTCAGTAAGAACACTGAGACATCATCAGCCCTTGAACTATTTTAAAATATATTGTAATATATATCTTTTTAGTTTTTGTTGTGGTTGTTCTTACTGGGTGTGTTTTGGTTTTTTGAAAAGGTTTCTATGTAGCCTTGGCTGTCTTGGAACTCAATATGTAGATCAGGCTGTCCTGGAACTCATATAGATATCCATCTATCTGCCTTTGCCTCTTATTGTTGGGATAAAAGGTATATGCCACCACATCTGGCCTTTTTTAATTTAACTAGATTTGACTGGGGATAAAAGTAGGTATTTTGTTATTTATAAGTTCCAGGAGAAAACTAGGTTGAATAACAAAGGGTTAAAAAAATGTCATTTAATAAAAATAATAATGTAAATGTAAATAAAAATGTAAAAAATAAAAATTCATATCCATAACACTTTATTACCCATCTGGAACCTTAAGTCTGTCCCCATGAAAATTATGTTTCTAAGTATCAATTAACTATTTGATGCACTCTTTATTTAGTATAGCCCATTTTAGATTTACCAAAATCTAATTGCTACAAGATCACTGACACATATATTAATTTATCAATTATTATGTTCAGACTTAGGAATGAATTAGACTTTTTGCACAAAAATGCAAGTGACAGATTCAATCAACTTGGTATCATCTCAGAATGTGCCACTGTCACTATAACTTTGCCCTTAGATAATAATAGTAATATTGATAAAGCATCATGATTCTAGGTGAGATGTAGCAATTACAACTAAGGAGAAATGCCTTGCTTTGTTAATACCTTCTAACATATATGTTCTATTGCGTGTGAGAAGTATGTATGGAGATAACAGTTGAACAAACTGATACATCTGAATTTGTCATTGACACTGGCATTTAGGGTTACTCAACTTTCCTCTTGCCCCCAATTTGCTATAGGAATCCACAGAAAAAGTAGAAGCAAGAGACAAAGAATCCTCAATGGAAAATAATAGGTCAGTAGCGCAAGCAAGAGAAAGAAGAGATGATGAAAGCCAGCTTAGAACAAAACTGTGACAACTGGAATACTGCTAACAAGCACCTAAACCCATAGCTACAATCCCATTTCTATCTATAGTAGTGAGTTCAGAACTAGAGTATAACCTGACTTATGCTGAGATCAGCGAAACTGTAAGTAAGGAGAAAGGATGTTTGTAAACATTTTTTAAATTTATTTCCTTATTATGTATACAGTGTTCTGTCTGCATACAGAAGAGGGTGCTAGATCTCATTACAGATGGCTGTGAGCTACCATGTGGTTGCTGGGAATTGAACTCAGGACCTTTGGAAGAGCAGCCATCTCTCCAGCCCGTTTGTAAACGTTTTAACAGAACAGAATGTGCCCCAGACACCCATACCCTAAATGTACCCTCTCTAGTTGTCACTGCATGCAATTCCCCCCCACCTATCCATCAGTGACCCTTATCTAAAATGCTTGGGGTCAGAGGAATTTCAGATTTGGGGGAGTTATGAGGTGTTTATTTATTTTGAAAAGAAGCACTTTATTGACTGAGCTTCCTTAAAAATCCTAAACCTGAAACTTCTAAAGTATCATGGGTTTCAGATTTTGAAATCAGTGATGATCAATCTGTCTACTAAAAACATCTGTAGCAAGCTGGTAGAGGAAATGCAGCTAACACAAACCATTCTTTGCTCTTGAAAATCAGCTTTCAGGCCACAACATTCAAGTTTAGAGATGACATGGTGTAACAATGCTTTCTTTCCTTTCATCCCCAAATTTCTAAAGATGAAAATTGGAGACCCAGAAATCTAAAAACATACGTAAAACAACAAAACAATTCAACAGAAAAGTAAACTTAAGTTTTATTCAGCCTTATTAAAATAGTGCACCTATTCTGGACATCTGTAATTACATAATGATTTTGGCAAAAGGGCATTAATTATATATAGTAAAAGTTATGAACAATGGACACTGTGTACACACTTGCCTTCACTACAGAAAGGTCTCTTGACGCCAGAGAAATTGACTGTTTCATGAAGCGTCTTCTCCTCTTGGCAGTATTCGCAATATGTAACTATGCAATGCAACTTCTTATAGTCATCTGAGCAAGTTTTGCTGCAGAACTGATGAACTTTGTTCTAAATGCACAATGGGAACCTTGGTAAGTATGAGAACCATCTCAAGACCAAGTTTAAGAAACAAACAAGCCACTTTTACAGTAAGTTAAATCATTTATCTATTTAATGCTATGATCCTTGGAGACACATTTCCTATAGGCCACAGACATCTAAGCTAACCAATTCACTAAATATAAACATAGGTGCACTAAATTCAGCATCATTAACTACCCTAAAAGTATTCTATGACTAGGTGAACAATCACTAACATGAAGTATCAGTGTGGAAATGCTAACTGAATTGAAGAACAAAAAAGATTAATGAAAAAATACAATGTAAGCTACAGAAATACAAGATACAACATTTTTAGTCAATGCAAGATACTCTTTGTTAAAAACAGACAGGTAGATTCAAACACTTTCCTGACACACTTTAATAAAAACATTTATTCCGTCTAAGTTTTCAATTAGTGCTATTCTACAGCACTGATGCAAACCTTGAGACTAAGTTAGTTTCCTTAAATGGAAAATGGTTAATTACTATTTGTCCTTCAAAGTCACAGCTGTCAGGCCTACTTTTTAAAGAAAGAGCCAGGATTTAAGAAATAAAATTTGAAAAAAAGTAACTTTTCTCCCAAATTATGGCAGCTACAGATTAAGTCGAAATCATCAACTTAATACCTATTAGAGCTATCTGAAGACTAAAGTAAGGAAATAAAGCAATGCAGCAAACAACTACAGCAGTCATCAATGGAAAACTGCTGCATTATGAATAAAAAAGTCAAGGAGAAAAATGGCTAAGAAGGACACACAGACACACACACAGTCACACAGAAACATACAAAGACACACGCATGAAAAAGAAAAAATTCATAGCTGCTAATGATGAACTGAAAAAAGGCTTTAAACTCATAGTCTCCTGAGGGAGATGCTCACTCAATAGGACTGTATCTCTTAATGGCATCTAACACTGAAGTTATCAATACCATATCACTATAAAATCTGGGTAGCAATGATTTTCATCTGAAATTATTGAATTTAAGTTTATTATAAGACATATAGGGGTTGGGGATTTAGCTCAGTGGTAGAGCAAGCGCTCGGCCCTAAATTCAATCCACAGCTCCGGAAAAAAAAAATAATAATAATAGTAAGACATTTATTTCCTATATGATGCTATTTGAGGGCTTGCCCATGGCTTTCTTCCCTCACTCCCTGGTCACTCCTTATTTTTCTCATGTCGGGCATTCAGTATTATTTTTGCTACTATTAAGTAGTTGTTAGTCTAAAACTCAGGACAGGATGCCATCAAGAGTCTCCAAAGAATGACTGATTTAACTACACTGGAGACAGCACTAAACAAAACAATAAACTACAGAATTTTATAGGAACTAAAATAATCAACTTTCTCAGATTTCCAAATAGTTTAGAAATCATGAAGTATAATTCTAGGTATCACTTCTCACCTGAGTGTTACATTTTAAGTGATGTGTGAACAATCACAAAAAGTGGTCTGATTTTAGTTCTATATCTTATATAACTTTTAAGTATTTACTTCAGGTTCTACCTCGGACCACTCAATACACCCAAAAAAAGCTTAAAGAATAGCCAAAAGTAAACACTGTTCAGCACGGCAATGAGCAGCCTGGATCAATCTATCCATCATTCTCCTCTCATGGAAATAAACTCACCGTTGAGAAGTGCCAACAGCAAGAGAAGAGAAAGAATATGACAAAGTAAGCAAGTACACTAAAACAGGTTAAGAGTGCTAAGAAGAAAAGCAACTACATTCACAGGCCTCTACTCTCTTATTAAAATATAAGATGTTAAATGATAGTACAGTGTGTGACTTACATATTTTAATTCTACAAATATTGAGCAGTACAGTATTTGTAGTTCACAGATGATGATAATGAGGAGGAACAGTAAAATAGTGGACAGACACTCTGGGTGTATAAAGTGACTTTTTATATTCTGTTACAAGCACATTAATTATGCATGTGACTTCATTAAATTGCTTCACCTGAAATCTATCCTGTTGATTTCATTTCCACATGAGTAGACACACCAACAACACAAAATATGAAACTTATATCCACTAAGAAAGGTTTCCAAATAGAAATGCCAGTTATTTTATTACATTCTCATCTTAGCATTAGATAACACATATAAGGAAACAAGACTTGCCTCCCATTCCAAGATTTCTGGTTTTGAACAAAAGGAATTTTTACAGTAGTTGCATTTCAATTGAATATCACTGGGTGCTACAAATTGGCCATTTGGAGATGACTGCATGCTTAGAGCCTAAAATAAAGAACAAAATACACTTAGTCTGACATGTATTTTTACAACTTCTACCTGCAAGTACTATCAAATGTCCACTAGATGCAGAATGCAATAGTTTATTTGCTAATTGTTTCTTTAGTAGGTGAAACAATCATTCTTAATTTTCCCTTTAAAATGCACTGTGTCAAAGGGCTGGGATGCAGCTCAGTGGAAGGATGCTTGAGCAGTAAGTTAAAGGCCCTAGCTTCAATGCCCAGTACTGCAAAAAAAGAAACTGTAAGCTTTATAAATTGAAATGTTTACCAATAATTACCTAAAATAAAATATGAAAAAGAAAAACTACAGCTTAATTACTTCAGCTGAAGAAAATGCTTAACAGTAAGGTTAGCTGTTCAAGTTCTGAACTACAAAATACAAGCAGGGAAGAGGGATAAGAAGGGAGGGCGGTTAGTAGGGTAAAGACATGAAGGAGACAGATAACCCTGCATTGATCTTGACGATGATCAAATACTGAGTTATGAATGACTTGCCCCACAACATTACTCCCATAATTCTCACTCCAAGTCCTTAATCAAGGAAAACAGCATGAATTACTTTTTAAAAAGGTAGCCAAGCCAAGTGGTGATGGCACACACCTTTAATCCCAGCACTTGAGAGGCAGATGGATCTCTGTGAGTTCAAGGCCAGCCTGGTCTACAGCGCCAGTGCCATGATAGGCTCCAAAAGCTACACAGAGAAATCCTGTCTCAAAAAAACCAAAAGAGAAAAAGAAAAAGAAAGAAACAATAGAGGGAGAAACAATCATTTTAAATACCATATTGTACAATACAATTAAAATTTGTGAAAGGAAGGAAGAAAGAAGCAAAAAAGACATTTACTATCTGATGACTAAAATGTCACATGCCTTTTGTATTACCTCATCCAGTATCATTTGTCAAGCCTAAGAGGCCTTTGAGCCACAAACTTACAAGAGCCATACTGGATTTTCTAAGTTCCAAAACTATGAGAAATAGCAAATTTTGCTTATAAGCTATTTTTTATAATAGCTTAACGAGACAAAAGAGTAGTATTCTATTATCTTGCTTTTTTTTAAAGATTTGTTTATTGTGCATTGGTGTTTTGCCTGCTTGTATGTCTGTGTGAGAATACCAGATTCCCCTGGAACTGAAGGTACAGACAACTGTGAGCAGTCATGTGGGTGCTGGGAATTGAACCATGTCTCCTGGAAGAGCACCCTGTGCTCTTAAATCGCTGATCTCTCCAGCCCTCTTATCTTGCTTTTTTTTTTTTTTTTTTTTTTTTTTGGTTTTTTGAGACAGGGTTTCTCTGTGTAGCTTTGCGCCTTTCCTGGAGCTCACTTGGTAGCCCAGGCTGGCCTCGAACTCACGGAGATCCGCCTGGCTCTGCCTCCCGAGTGCTGGGATTAAAGGCGTGCGCCACCAACGCCCGGCTTTATCTTGCTTTTAAAAGTAAAATATCCTAATACAGACATAAAGTTCAAGATATACAATGTGCCTGAAAGATTAAAATATTGCCTCTTTATCAACTTTGTCTTATTTGTATATAGACTATATAAGGATGGATATTTACATCTTTATCTGTATGTTACTCAAAGTTGTTTCTTAAAAATATTTAATGTACATATACACAACCTCATCAAACCATAGACAAGAGAAGTTTCAAGTAAATGGAAAAAGTAGTTAAGCTGATCATAACGGCTCACGCCTGCAATCCTAGCACTTAGAAGTTTGAGAAAGGCGTTATGTATGACTGCCAGTTTGAGGCCAGCCTGAGCTAGAACATTGAACACTTTCAAAAGCAGGGTGGAGAATGAAGTAGTGAAGACATTATCTGTATCAGTCCAGTATACCTAACATTAGAGGAAATACAGGTGGTTTTAATATCTGACAAGCAGCAGGCCATCATCACTATCCTTCTCTTCACAAATTAATTATTCCTTTATTTCAAGTTTAAGAAAAACCAACAAAATAGAAACATTATGTACCACTTTGAGAACTTTATCTATCAATGGCCATGACTTCAACTTACAACAGTTTACAAATTTATTATCTAACTTCAATGAGGATTTAACTCAAGAAAACAACATTCATTCACTTGACTGAGTTTAAAAATCTCAATTTAAATGGCAGTAACTGTTATAATAACTACTGTAGCATATGTAAAAGACTACAGTTGCAGTTTAAATAAATTAACATACAGCACAGTACCTAAAATAGAGTAGAACTGTTGGATGAAGTAACTCATGAATCATAGCTTTATGCATTGGCTTGAACCTTTGAGCAATACCTGAAATTCTCACATACAATACGGAAACCTACTAGTACTACCTAATACTTGAGTCCCTCTAAACTACTCCTTCAGAATGGTCAACCAAGTTAAGTCTCAACACTTCCTAAAACATCTGAGATTATTCATACTCCAAGTTTGAAGGACTATGTCAGACAATTCTTAACATTTACCAAATCAGAAATGTCTCCCTGAAATGGACCTCATACTACTATAAAAAATCTAAATCCCCCTTTTTACAACGTTCCTTTCTAATTTGGAAAACATATATGCTTAATATTTCCAGGCTCAAGAAACCTATATATTTCATTCATTTATCACAGAACACTGCTACTCAAACTACCTAACAAGAAAAGCACTATATATCCAACACTGAACTAAACCACACTAAAATTCATTTTCCTTCAAGATCTGTATTACATCAAATCTGTACAGAAGTTCAACCAGGCCTTCTGTGATTCATGATATAGTTTCCACCCTCCAATCAGGCCTTCAACAAATTAAGTAAAAAGTAGCAGAAAAGATAAAGCATATTACACTAATTGTTTTCTATTTGTGTTTTATGGGGGTGGGGGAAAATAAATAACAAACCTGAAATTTAGCCACACAACTGGAATTGCAAAAGTTATATAGTTTTCCATCAGGCATTGTGGCTTGGTATTGAGGTAAAGAGTTTCGCTTACAAAAATGGCAAATAATTCCCAAACCTAGAAGAAAAAAGATGCATACCTGATTTCTTTATAAAGTAAAAGAAGGGTTTCTTAAAATGTTAACTGATTGTTTAAAGGGGTCTCTATATATATATATTACTCTCATATTATTTGTACCTTACGTTTTTCAAAATTATTTGCATCTTCAAAATTACTGCCAGGGTTTAATAAGTGGCTCAGCAATTAAGAGCTTTTGCAAAGGACCCAAGTTCAGTTCCCAGCACCCACAAAGCAACTAACCACCTTTAACACCAGTTCCAGATGACCCTTCACCCTCTTCAGACCTCTGTGGGCACTGCATGCACACAAGTGTACATAGACCACACTGGCAAAAAAAACCCATAAACATAAAATGAGAATAAATATTCAATAAAAAAAAAATACTGCTATTAAAAAAACTATTAACTAATCTAAAGTGTACACAGATACATACATAAAAATATTTTTAGAAAATTATGGGTATAGTAACAGTTTTAGCTAAAAATTTCAGATACAAATAAAACCTCACTAACTTTTAAAAATTGAAAAGTATGGGAATCATCAAAATAATTTTTTTTAAAGATTTATTTATTTATTATGTATACAGTGTTCTGTCTGCATGTGTCCCTGCAGGCCAGAAGAGGGCACCAGATCTCATTACAGATGGTTGTGAGCCATCATGTGGTTGCTGGGAGTTGAACTCAGGACCCCTGGAAGAGCAGTCAGTGCTCTTAACCTCTGAGCCATCTCTCCAGGCCCCCATCAAAATAATTTTATACTTGCAATAAAGAAGTTCGTATGAGAAAACCAAACACTGTTAAAACGGTGTAAAATTAAAATATTACCTTTAATAAACAATTATGTCATTAAACTTTCCAAATACCTGAAACTTACTTTGTGATTTTGCATATTTTGTCTTGTGACTATTCATGCAGGCAGTTGAACAATATGGCTCCATATATCCATTAGGACCTATGCACTGAGTCATATCAAAAAACCTGCACTGTGTTCGGCAACCAGTACAAGTTGTCAGTTTTCCATATTTCTAAAATTTGAACATAAAAAGATAATTTAAAAAAAAAATTTCAACTAGAACTAATTTCATCATAGCATTTTTTTAAAAAAGCAAAAGACAGAGCTCTCTATGGAGCACAGGCAGGCTTCAAAACTTATGACCTTCTTTTCTTAGCCCCTTAAGATCTAGGATTAAAGACACATGCCATCATACCTGGTTCAAAGCATTTGCTGTCTTTTCAAAGTGATTCTATTACACTCTTTCTAGATGCAAACTAAATGTGCCATCAACTAAACTAGGTTCTAGCAAACCAATCATCACCATCTAACTCTCCTTCAAAAAACAATGATTTTGTCTATATTTAGTTGAAAATCTAGGAAAGGCATAGTTCCTTTTCTGTGTGTGTGTGCAATGGTTTTGGTACTTACTATGTTCAAGACTGCATCTCTAAGAAACAAGAAGAAAGCAAGTTCTATGTATGGCTATTAAATCTCACAGCCTGGAGGTGGATTGGAAACCAGAAGTTTTACTGAGTTGAGGAAACAGATGACGTTCTGGACAACTACAATTTAGAAAACAAAATACTGAAGGGAGCTACACAAAACAGAACTATGGCTACTTAACTACAGGTATTTCAGAAGAGGGCTCGGGCTAAGAACTAACGTGTGTGAGTGTAAGAAGTAGAGATATGGAAGGAACTGGCAGCAGTCCTGCATAGCTCAATCTCAGCATGAAGGAAGTTGAGGCAGTAGGCTAAGCTACATAATGTGACCCTGTCTCAAAAAGGTACAGCAGCAACAATACCACCAACAACAACAAAAAAACACTGCAAAATGGAGCATAGGGAGAACACACACACACACACACACATACACATACACATACACACACACACACACACAGCCTCAGTGGCTAAGAAACATTAAAAGCAGGATGTCAATTGTATCAGAGGGTTGTTAATAATCTGGGTAAACAACATCAAGAAACAGTATCTGAAAAGAATTTTCTAGGAACACAAAGATTTTCTGACAAAAGACAGGTAAAATTTAGTAGGAGTGAAAAATCTATCTCTTGGAGAAATGAAAATATTCGTCATCTGCTATAATTAAGGAGAATAAATTTTAATATACTTATACAATTATGCTAAAATACATTTTAATGCTTCAAATGGATGTGATTTTTCATATACATTTGACTCCAGGGACCTACATATTATAAGAAGATAATTAATTTCCACAAGCTGTCCTCTAACCTTCATACACCCACCTTGGCATGCACAAGCCCACATACATATATACACATACAAACATGAAATTAAAAAAAAAATTTTAATGGGTCTTCAATCTCACCAACATTCCTGCTCACCTCAGGCTGCATTAAGAAAGAGTCCTGCATGTGATCTCGAACTTCCTTCAGGAAACTTGGATGGCTACCTACCTAAAACATTGTAAGAGATTTTGTAAGTACATAAAGAAAAGCTGTTAGACTGAATAAATAATCTATTAAAGTTGCTTCAATTGTTGACTGATTTATAATCTCCTAACTTTCAACAGTATATTTTCTGTTCTGTGCTCACTGTTGAAGAGGGGGGAAATGATAAAACATTAACAGAACAGTGTAGAAAAGAAAAACAAGAGTTTTGATTCATCCCTGCACACCCTGGCAGCATTCAAGAACCAACACCTGTTCTTTAATGCTAGATAAGCATAATAGTATTATGATTAACACACACACACAAACATACAAAACACACACACACACACACACACACACAAAATACAAGGAAAAAAGAAAAGAGCCCTAGACTATAAAGTAATTTAAGTTAAAAACAGCAATCCTCATCACCAAAAAGCAAAGTTAAAACTTTAAAATTAGTAAGGTAATAGATGTCAAAAACCCAAATTACCAATGTTAGAATAGTAGGCAAAGATTTCCTAAGTAGCCATCATAAAAATGCTTCAATAATTATAATATGCTTGAAGAAGAAATAAAGCAGAACCTCTCAATTAAAAAACAGGTATGGAGCCGAGCGGTGGTGGCGCAGGCCTTTAATCCCAGCACTCGAGAGGCAGAGCCAGGAGGATCTCTGTGAGTTCAAGGCCAGCCTGGGCTACCAAGTGAGTCCCAGGAAAGGCGCAAAGCTACACAGAGAAAACCTATCTCAAAAAACCAAAAATAAATACATACATACATACATACATACATACATACATACATACAGGTATGGAGCCAGGTGTGGTGCTGCACACCTTTAATCCCAGCACTTCAGAGACTGAGGCAGGCAGATCTCTGGAATTCAGGCTGGAACCAAGGCTACATAGTAAGACCCAGTCTTAAAGAATGAGACAATTGTAAGACAATAAGCAAAAATTGTACTATTTCATATCTTTGGAGCTCTGAAGGGATAAGACAAAAAGAAGAGTTTTCCAAGAAATAATGCCTGAAGATGCCTCATATCAGGCAAAAGAGGTAATCTACAGATAGAAGCTGAGTAAACCCTAGATTAACTTCATCCCTGGCCCCCCAAAAAAAGACAAGAAACATCAACAATTTGTTAAAATTAAAGACAAGAATAAAATTTTGAAATGAGCAACAGAAGAGCTTATAGAAAAAACTCAACACCAACGGCAGCATAGAGAGACAAAACATTCACCTTCTACTCTAGAAACCCAACACCAACTGCAGCATAGCACATTTATTTCTTTGTCTTTTGAGATGGGGTCTTACTATGTAACCTTGGTTCTAGCCTGAATTCCAGAGATCTGCCTGCCTCAGTCTCTGAAGTGCTGGGATTAAAGGTGTGTAGCACACACCTGGCTCCTTACCTGTTTTTAATTGAGAGGTTCTACTTTATTTCTTCTTCAAGCGTATTGTAGTTACTGAAGCATTTTTATGATGGCTTATAATAAATAAGTTTTAGTTTAGGTGCTTGTTTTCGCCTTGATTACTATGATTTGTAAGGTAGTACTTTAGTCTGCTGTTTTGTTCTGTATATATACAGCTTATCTATTATGCATATTTTACTTCTCAATGTATTTACAAACTCAAACTAGAGACCAAAAACTGGAAATTAATCTTAAAGCTGAAATATAAAGGTAATCATTCCCAACCCAAGCTCTAACAGTTTGAAAACTCCTCTCCAACTCCCCCAAAAGAAGAAAATTCAAAAGAGGAATTACACTAGTAGGATTTACTATTGTATGTAAAAATCACAAGTTGATTTCCAACAACCTACATATATTCTTAATTCATTTGAGGTAGGCCATCTTCACATAAAGAAAATTATGAACTTAAATGAGATTCCAAGATAAATATGGCTAAATCTTCCTATATTAGAACTACAATGCTTCCAAACTCACCCAAAAGAACACCTAGGGTTTTTTAGCACATAAATTACCTGTTTGTATTCACTGACACAACTCTGACAGCAAAATCTTTTCTGCTGACCATCGATCACCAGAACATTATTTCCAGCACCTTTACTAGGCAAATATTCTCCACACTGTTCACAGCAATTCATTATTAGACCATTGGCCATTCTGTATCGATTGAAGCAGTGGTCACTGCACAGCTTATGAGTCATATTTTTAAAACTAACTTCATGGCGAATCTAAAAGAAAAACAAACAATTTTAAAGAGTGTATCTGTTTTCAAGTAGCTAAAAAGCTGATCGATCCAACAGCAACAAAAACACCCAAGAAAGCTAAATGTGAGGAAAAGGAAAAATCAAAATACATATCCTATGTCTTTAAACTGTTTATATACACAAGAACATAGGCACACATGCAAGGCACTATCGAAAATGAATGACCGTAGTGATTATCACTATAAATTTCTCTAAAGATAGATTAAAAACGACAGAAAAACCATGTCTGGATTGTGTTAATGTTACATTTCATAAACAGACTTACTATAAGTCTTTAGACAACTCCAAAAGAAATGATAGAGTACACTGCACTAGGCAAGAGAGAAGAAAAGCCAGAACTACAAACAATTCAAATAAGGTATGCATATACAGGTTACTTTAGTGTCATAATTAATAATGTGAATTTATTTTTTTGAAAATTCTTTCACTTCTATTTGCCCATGTTTGTCTTTTTATGTAGTCAGCCTATTTGTATAAATAAACATTATTAGACCAGTAAAAAAAAAGAAAAAGTACAATCATAATACTGTGATTACTCTCAACCTATGAAATAAACAAGGTAATTCTTCCTGAGTCAACTTTCTTGGAAGACTAGGATCGCATAATAGAATACTCTAAAAAGTTTACATATCCTCACTTCTAATGACACATGCACCAATAAAAAGTAGGGAAAGCTGTCAACACCTGCAATAATCTCACATGAGAGTAAGTGAAAAGTACACAAGTACAAACCTCAGTCAGTTTGCCACAGATTGTGCATCTCGATTTATTTAGAGCTCCTTTAGCAGGACTCTGCTTGTCTTCATAGAGAGACAGACAAGATGTGCTACAGAATTCTTGGAAGGACTCACTTGAATCTACTTGAGCAACAATTGTTCCTTTCATTGTAGTTATATCTCTGAAAAACAAGAGGTACAACTTAAAGTTCCATTTCAAAAGAAACTAAAAATAACAGTTATAACCAGTATTTTTAATTTCCACAGATTGACTCATGGAAATTAAACACCATTTTTAGATTCAGGAGATCACTTTTAGTATAAAATATGAACTCTTGGCAATAAGATTAAAAAGTCAAAATATTTGGTCCTGTCACTAATAATTTATCTTCAAATGCACTAACAAGGCTTTTAGATATTGGAAACACGAAAATAAAATTAACGTAATTACATGGAATTAAACTGATAGTGCCTGTTCAATTCCCCTCTCCGATTAAAAGGTAAACATAAGATTCCTAGATTATAGAAATTTAAAATCAAGAGAGACTATACGAAATATTTTCTACTTAAATACACCACTTGCCAGGCATTGTGGCTCACACCTATAATCCGAATACTTAGAAGATGGAGGTAAAAAGGGTCGGAGGTTCAAGGTCCTCAATATACAGCCAACCTAGATTACATAAGACCCTGTTTGGACATAAATTTTAAAATGAATTAATTCATTAATGTGTAAATAAGTAAATAAAATGAGTAAATAGAATATGGGGGGCATGCACCTGTAATCCTAGCATGAGAAAAAAATAGGGGATTGCCACAAATTTGAAGCCAGAATGTCTTTTCTTATTTGTTTGTTTGTTTTTGTTTTTTGAGACAGGGTTTCTCTGTGTAGTTGTGGTGCCTGTCCTGGATCTCTCTCTGTAGACCAGGCTGGCCTCGAACTCACAGAGATCCACCTGGCTCTGTCTTCTGAGT